CGCCATGGCCAGGTCCCGGCAGAGCGAGACGCGGACAATGTCGTAATCGCCGGGTGGAAGCTGTCGATGTATAGTGGTGTGGCGAAGAAGAAGAAGACGACGACGACGACCTCTACAACTACGACGAAGTTTCGATAGGCGATTCGAATTCGTTGAGTTTCGACTGAGGATAGACAGGCTGGGCAGGCGGAGGGTCTCGGATGGATCGCTGGGTAGATCGAGGGGTAGGGGTTATTGGTGGTCAGGTACTGGTTGGTACTGTTACTGGTACGGGGTACGGGGTGCGGCCACGGGTACTGCGGGCGAGCGTCAGTTTCGTTGACCGGAAGAATCGGTTGGCAAGCACTTGAGTCGCAAGGGACGGTGGAAGTGCGGAGTGATTGGGTTCGGGTTCGGGATGACGGGCAGCCCAATGGGGAAAACGAGGGGTCCACGTTCTGGTGCTTACCAAGTCGCCGAGGGATGCTGTTGGGTTAGAATGAGCAGCGGTTATGGATGAGGATGTGCTGATAAGTGCTGGTAGATACGATGAGAGTAGACAAGCTAAAGTACGAGGGTAATATTCGTAGACGCAGCAGTACGGCACGGCGTGGGGAGAGAAGTGGTGTGTGTCCGTAGTGGCAGTGCTGGTGCTGGTGCTGGCGGATAGATGTTGGGTTTGAACTGGACTGGACGTGTCGGGGAACGGAGGAGTTGGTGGATGATGAGATGAGATTGGACAGAAACAAGACGTCAGTCCGAGGGGACGGTACGGTGCGATTCGATACAATGCGGGAGCGGATAAGACAAGCGCCAGGGGGGCTTTATCTGCTTATCGATGATCGCAAAGTAGGTAAGGTACCTTGCTATCGATGGAAGTTATCGAAGAGTGAGGTGGGTTGTGTTCAGTGTGTGGTAATTGACGACACTTTTGATGGAGGCCGATGGAACCTGGCGGCGGGCGGTAAGTACCTGATTGCCTACGTATGTACTCCATAAGACTGTACATAAGTATTCGCAAATGGCAGGGGAAATGATGAAGAAGAGGAGCCCGTTTGGTGTCGTCCTGTCCCGTTTAGATCGCCCGAGTCCAGGTAAGGCCGGTTGGTTGTTTCCACCTCAGCCCGGTACCTCTGTTACACAGTAATGACAGGTGCAGGTACCTAAGCTGATAGGGAGTGACAGGTACTTGCTCATAGGCAGAGGGTGAGGGGGAGAACAAGTTCCCGACGTGCAGCCAAGGCAACTGCAGATGCAAGCTCTGTCCCCTAAGGTGTTGCCTCGAGAGTCGAGCCTGGTGGATCAGGAGAATGACTGAGGCTGACGCAAGTACTTCGCAGTAGGAGGCAGGCAGAGAGAGAAGGCGATGTTCGATGTTCCTCCTCATATCTTGCCCTTCCTTCCTGTCAGCACCATCGAGGAAAGAGCATCTGCCATCAACTAGTACCCAAGAGAAGGTATCGTTCAAGAAAGGTACAAGCAACATGTATGCTGCCAAGTACTCCGTACCCAGCACCTTAGGTAGCTGGCCTCAGCACCTAACACTCTCCCCCACATACCCCGAAACGGACGGGAGGATGGATGCGCACGAGCCAGATCATGCTCTCTCTCTCTCTTTCACTAACTCACTCATTCCTTCACCAATGCTCTCTCACTCATACAGAGGCTTACTTACCACTCACATTTCATAGCTCACAGACGCATGATTTTATGCCTCACGGTGACCTGTGTTTCTTGGGTTGTGTTCGCATCTCACTCCCCGTTCTTCAGACCCTTCCCTCAGTATCAAGGGTCACTCTTTGCAAAGACCTGAATGTGCCGCCTCACTCTTCATGGCAAAGACAACCAACCATCAACCCTCCTCCATAGTCCCCGTACGTGACTGCACTCGTACGACGGCCGTGACGGGACCCTTCAACGCTCAGATCACACTCCCTTTAATCCTCGACATGCCGGGGCGTCGCCGCGTCGCCCCCAACTGTACGGTTGCCCCCTGCACCTGTCGCTCAAGCCGTTCCGGATTGACAACAGGGATCCTGGGACATGGGTCAAGACTGCTGTGTGCGGAGTACAGAGTCACGGAGTGTAAGTGTACGGATCAACAGGTGAGGGCATATACCACACCGACACCCAAGTTGTCTGAGATACTCTAGCAGTGCTTAGCCAGATGCTTATACGGATAGTCCGAGTCTCATACTTACAGCTGCCAGGTTGTCTCTTGTCTCCTCGCCTCTGCCCCTCCCCTCCCTACTTACCTCACCGCGATGCGCATCCACGGTATACGTACACCTTCACTGCGTGCTAAGCACCAAGTTGCCCAACGTTCCCCCCTCAAAACATCTAGGTTTGTTTCAGGAACACCAATGGGAAAGCAAGCTCGGGGCTAGCTATCCACGTCACTCCTTGTCATCCAACCGTAGGTCCACTGATGACTGGACACCTGCAACATGCACCGCACCGCACCGCACCGCACTGCTCTGCACCACTTGCTCACGCGCTGGCAGCCCGGACCTCATGCCGAGCGACATCTCCGGTACACCTGTCTCAAGGTTCTTTCCCTCACACCTCACTGCACCGCAAGATACGCAACATGTGTTCGTACCTGCACCAACATCGGCAAGGTGACAACTCCTAGACACAGAGACAGCAGAAGAGACAGCGGGAGATGGACACAGAGAGGGGCCAGCGGAAGAGCCGCGGCCAACTTCTCCGCCTCTGTTCGCCGTCCCAGAGGAAGCTCCGAGCTCGACATTTGACGCCGTTACAACTGCCCGTGACGCTGTCCCTTCCACCTCTTCTTCTTCTCAGTCTCCTCTCTCCCCAAGGCGTTTCCCCGCACCGCCACTTCTCAGACTCCTCCATCCCTCTGGCCTATCCTACTCCTGCGTAGACACTGGGAACGACGCTGTCAAACACTCCACCGGCACTCTTCACCGTTGCCCGCGTGATAATCTCTACCCAGCACGTCCGAGCCTCCTTTTCACAGGACTCACTTATCTATCCGCAGTGTCCTTCTGCTATACATTCGATTATACGAATCACTGACCGTTGATGGGACTCACTATATGGCTAGCTATCTGCAAAGAAGAGCAAGTAAACGAACACCATGACCAGCCGTGCTCTCCTACACAGCATACCTACCTTAGTGAGCACCACTCCTCATCTCAGGATCAACAACCAGCACATAGTGTGGCACCATCTCCTCCTCATCGCACGTGTCAACCCGTCTAGGCCGTCCATCCCCGTATCCTCTCCCAACTCAAAATACGCTGAATGACCGCCCGACACGCCTACATGGTACGTAAGACGGGCAGGTAGGCTGGCCCCAATCCGAAAAGCTGGTCAAACAAATCCTTACTCACGACTCAAACCATGGACAATCTACATGAGGGAAAAGCTCAGCGGCGAAACATGTCTTCTCCGAGGACTACGTTCACTCATACTTTCTCATCTTCTTACCTCTTTCGCACTTCAGAATCGCAGATAGCGATACAAGACAAATCTCCTTGAAATGCCTTTCGTAGAGGACCGCAAAGCTCGACGGGACTATTCTATGCCAGACTGTAGGACCATCACCGGCGACGGGCGCGCCTCGTCTCAGACCAAGTCACGTCCGGTCCCAGAGTCAGACCACTAAGAAAACGTCTCACCCACTGTATTGTGACTATAAGCCAGAGGAGGGGTAAGGTACAGGGTCAACTCGGAACATCAGTCAAGAACCACAATGCCGCCCGAAATCGCTACAGCTGGAACAATACCAGATATCCAAACATGTTTACCCAGCTAGAGATCGATCTGTAATCCAAAGCAAACCCACCCAGAAAAGACGAAGAAGCATTCTTCCTCCGCGCTGCCGAGCCATGAGCGACGAGAGAGCGCGCACGTGACAACTTCACCAACGGCACGGACTCCGTTCAGCTCTCAAGCCTCTCACGTTCCCCCGTATCCAAGCCAAGCTAGCCTTCCCTCGCAGCCTCATCTATTCCTACTTCTTTCCTCTCCAGCGACGCGGTGGCCCGTCCGGCGGTTACATCAACACACGGAACCGGAGGAAGAGAAAAGGTCAGAGGACGGGACGGGCTTGAAAAAAGTCCATAAATGTAAACAAGAAGAAAAAAAAAAAAAAAGACCCTGGGAAGGATGAACCGCGTCGGCTCCACTCCGAAACTGCCATGGGGGAGAAACACGGTGACGGTACCCTGCCCAGGGTCCCAGTCTCCGGTTCCCACGGCGCGTCCTCGATTTCTCAGACATTCATCCTCCTTAGAGTACAGCGGCGCGGCGGCAGCTCAGCTCGTTCTGTTCCAATTTCTCCCTTTTCCATGCTGCTGCCCGTTCTCATCGCGACCTGGTCAGAGATTGTCGTTCCCGTACCCGGAAGCTCAGCCAAGACCCAGGCGAGCATCAAACAAGATGGTGAACGATTTGTATCCTGTAATGTCATTTCCTTCCAGTGCCACCCGGTAATTGCAAGCGAATCGCCGCATTTGCCGTGCCCCTGAGCGAACTCTCTGCCTTTACTCGGTCTTGCCGTCTTTCCAGGTCGTCGAAGAAGACGCGCCAGTTCACATTACGAGAATTGCACAAATCAGGAGAACATCGCATGAACAGTGAAAGGCTCCCATCGTTGGTATATCGCGCGAGCTATAGTTACAGTAGTCGGAAGGGGGAATCCGTTCTCGTGTTGCCAAAGCGGGAATCTTCTCTCTCAAAGCATTCAACACAATCCCAAGCCCCCCAAACACGCGTCGCGCTCGATCAAAAGCAACCGCAATATATAGAAAAGACCATCAAGACAAAAACAAAGACAACAAGACAACGCAGTTGCGTTTTCCCCCCAGGTTGGTTTCCCACCAACGCTTCCCGGCCCATTGCCCTTTCCCAGTAAGTTAAATAACAACTCCCGTAAACGCCTTTCGACAAGATTTCGTGACACAAAAACAGTTGTGCGGAGAGCCGAGTAGAGTTACTCGACATTGCATCATCGTTCAAGGTAAGGGAAACAAGGTAAGAGTGACCCCTTATGCCGTGGCAGCGGGAGCCTCAGCCTTGGCCTCCTTCTTGTCGGCGGCGGCCTTCTTGGGTGCTGCCTTCTTCGGGGCGGCAGCCTTCTTGGGAGCGGCGGCCTTCTTCTCCTTGGGCTCCTTGGCCTCCTTTTTGGCGGCCGGTGCCTTCTTCTCAGTCTTGGTGACGCGACCAGTCTTGGTCTTGCTGAGGACGGCGGGCTTCTCCTCCTTGGCCTTGAGATATGTCAGTACTGGGCAAACGAGAACGAGGTAAGGGGTCAACATACGGCAGCAGCCTTCTTGGCGGCAGGCTTCTTCTCCTTCTTCTCGGCAGCAGCCTTCTTGGGGGCAGCGGCCTTCTTCTCCTTGGGCTCCTTCGCCTCCTTGGTCTCCTTCTTGGCGGCGGCCTTCTTGGGAGCGGCAGCCTTCTTCTCCTTGGGCTCCTTGGTCTCCTTCTTCGCAGCAGCCTTCTTCTCCTTGGGCTCCTTGGCCTCCTTCTTTGCGGGGGCCTTCTTCTCAGCGGGCTTGGGCGCCTTCTTGGCGAGCTTGGTGCCACCGGAGGGACCTTGAGGGATGTTAGTATTGTTTCAGAGACTTAAAGAGGCTGACATGCGGTGACATACCCTTGGGCTGCTCGAAGACACCCTTCTCAACACCGGCGCGGAGGGCCTTGTTGAAGAGAGAGTCGAACATGTTGTCGCTGACGGTGTTGATCTGGTTGTTGGCCTTGACGTACTTCTTCAGGGACTGGCGGGAAGATCCGTTACGGTCCTTGAGCTGTAGGAGGGAAGGTGAGTCAATTAAAGGCAACGCAAGAATAGGTGGACCATCGTCGTGGCGGTGGAGGGTAGCGCGATCGAAGGTCACGGGCGCTAGGCGCGAATGGCAGCTGACCCAGCTCGTGGGTCCTCCGATCGCGTAACCCTTTGCGCCGGAGACGGAGGAGCGGTAAAACATACAGCAACGATAGCATCAGTGATCATGTCCTGTAGAGAGTTAGCAACCAACGCGTCATGCAAAAAGCCGGACTGGTTGAGGTACAAACCTGGTAGCTGGCGTGGGTGGACTTCTTGCTGGGGGCAGCGGCGGCGCCCTCGGTCTTCTTGGGAGGCATTGTGACTGTTTTGGGGGGTTGTGTGGATGCGTAAAGCGTAAAGGGTTGCTTAGAAGCAGGATTCAATCGAAATGTCGATTGAAGTCGGTTTGAAGACGGGTGTACTTTGAGAAAAGTTGCAAGAATTAAAATCGACGCGTTGTGGTGATTGAGAGAGGCGAGAGATGAAGAGGTCCGGAACGAGAGGGTGGAGGGAGAGCGCGTGCGTGGAGGGGATGGGGCTTGTTTTTATAAATGGGCGGGGGCCGTTGGGCGCGGTGCGCAATCAGTAACTTTTGGGGAGACGACCTGAGGGCGCGGGCGCGGGCGTTGGATTTTTTTGAGGGTGAGCCTTGAGGTGCCTTCTTTTTTTTTTTATCCCCTCTCCTCCCTCTTGGCTTGGTGCGGGTGCCTTTTGGGCCCTCCAAATCCCCCGTCCATTTTGGGGGGGATGGTCGCTAAATCACGCGGACTGGGGGGCCTTGGGCCTTCCCCCTCTCAACCTTCAGTCACTTTCTTTCTCTCTCTCACTTCGCGTCTCACTCACTCCAGAGTCCCCCCCCCCTCAAAGATGGCACCCTTTTTTTTCCTCGTTCCCTTTTCTTCTCCTCGCATCTCACTCACTTATCTGCTTCACACGCCAATGATACCATCAAATGACCACGGTAGCCTAGAATAAACTTAAAAGCTGTCTCCCGTTGGATCTGGCAAGGGCCCGGGGAAGTCGCAAGGGTGCTTCTCTCCATGACTATGAACGGCGTATTCCCACAGCCTGACAGCTCTACGCGTACGTCGAGTTGGTTGTGATGTGTCCGGATAGACAACAGCATACCATAGCGCCCCAGCTTTGAGGTGATGCCCTTTGACGCCTGCTTGTCTCGACTTTCCACATCTCATTGTGTCTCTCGTCTCTTCCCGCGTCACTCCCAAATCAACCTCATTGCCCTCATTCGTCGGCGGAGTATCTTGTTCGACTCAAATCGCCGATTAGTGCGGGAGCGGGAGAGACGTGCGTGTCTATTTTGGACGTGTCCAGGACTACAGCCGCCGCGATGATATGGTGGGTGTTCTAAGAAATCCTCGGCCGGTGACAGATTCCAGCACGGCCTCACTCGCCTCGGTCCACGGCCTCTTTCTTCTGCCCCTTTGATAATGGACCAGTCCTTTTTTCTCTGGTATCCATTTTGACGTTTAGATTGTCAAGTGCCATCTCTTATTGTTCTGATAAGCAAACGGTAACGGTTAGTCGAGTCGAACGGGCTGCCCTTTGAGTTGGTGGAAGACGCGGACGGCGGCCAAGCAGCGCCCCTCACCTCTCATCTCAACCAAGGAAGCTCAGCTCAGATCAATCAGCCCAGTTCACCTCCGTCGCCGGAAGCACTCGAGCTCTCCAAGCCCCAAGCTCCAGGCCATGCATGAAGCTTCTGAGGCTTCTGTCGTCTCCGCCGTCATACCCTGGACGGGCCCCTGGTCTTCCCTGTCCGCCCCAGGGTCGATGTAAGGCACGCCGCACTCCTCCTTGCGGATAGTGAGTGCTGTCGTGTGGGTAGTGGGAGGTTCCAGCACATCTCCCCTCGCCAGGTGCCACGCTGCACCCCTCAACGGGTGCTCCAGTCATCTGCCCTAAGAGGACCGGGGTAGTCTTCTGGTGTTTTTCTACTGCCGTTCCTAGTGAGTTTGAGGTGTGTGAGTCTATGAGATGAGACTCACCTCACGAGAACTGCCTAAGAACGATGGAGTGAGATGCCTACTAAGCAGGGTACGTAGGACAGAGCCATAGCCGCAGTGCCTACCTTCCATTAGCCCAACGCCCCGAGTTCCTGCCCTCGATGGTGGACACAGGGCAGAGGAAGGTGTACGATCATCCACCTTCTCTGCGCCTTCCTCCCGCCGGGCAGTTCAAGATCAGCCGGTCCCAGAATCTTAAGAAGGAGGTGCATGGTTCTTTCCCTCCTTCCTCCGGGTCCCCCGCCTGGCTCCTGGCTCCTGCACCTGCACCTGCCACATGCACCACCCGCCCGTTCTTTCCCATCCAAACTGCCATGTTTTCTGCCACGCTCAATTGCCTCAGAATTCAGAAAGCACCAGACGGGACGGAGAGGCAAACAAAAGGTACATCGCCCTTGTACCTCATCCTCCATTTTCCCTTCTGTCACCTTTTTATTTTCCAAAATTCGTCTACTTTCCTTTTTTCTGATTGGTCCAAATATTCCTCGCCGTGAGGTCCTGCCGCCAGCGTGCCTGCTTCCCCCGTGGACCGTGGACCGTTGGTTCTTCCCCTCCCCGTCCCGAGTGCTCACTCAGTCCCCTGTTGCTCCGTCGTCCCTGCTGCTCTCTGATGCCGCACACGTTCGCGGGTCTCCCATCTCCCACCAAACTCATTCTCATCGCCCACCTCAACCACCCTCTGCTCTCCTCGCCCTTCTCCTCTTTCTCTTCCCTCTTGATTCCCTCTTCTTCCCATTTACTCACCCTCCATTACAAAAAATGACTCATGGCTCGCCGTTGCCACGTTTTTGAGTCTTGCGCCCGCCGATCCACCGTCCTCCGACTCGGCCCCAATTTCCCTCCCATTCTCACGCCTTTCCCCCACCGAGAAGCCCGATTTTGCATCATCGCCCATCTTCGTTTTTACCCCCGACCGTCAATGCCATCCGTCGCATCCGCTCTGATGCCTCTGTCTTTCGGTTTCGTCTCGCGCTAACTGTTTTGTTTTGTTGCTCGAATTTTTCTCCATCGTTTGATGCACTTTTCCCTCTGTTTACCGCGTGTTGCGGCTCTGATATTGCGCGCACATTCCCAACCCCCGACCCCGACTGTTGTGATTCGGTCGCGCTTCGTCCAAATTGAAGCTATCCGCACATCTTGCACCACCATCGTTACAATCATCAACAGCACCCCGAAATTTATCAAGGAAACACCGGATTCCATCATCTTGGTCGACAATCTGCTCGGCGATATTTTTGTTGAATTTCTATCATTTTCCTAGCCCGATTTGACTTACACCGAGTATATCGTTTCATGCCATCGTGATGGGGCCACGCGACCGGTAAAATGAGGTGCATCGCCTCATCCGCGTGCCTACCGCCATCCCGTTGCCTAAACTCGTCAATCACGCCTTCTATGGTATCACAGTGACCACTCCCATCGATGCATGGGGTTATGGGCAATTTGGAGCTGGTTTCGTGCCACCAGCGCCAATAATTCAATCCAGTGCAAGAGACGCGATGGAAGCTATTCGCATTTTGCCAGCGCTTCCAGCCAAAAGCGGGATACCATCGCTGCACACTAGTGAAAGATGATGAAATTTCCGCCGTGAACTTCTGAGGTTTAATTTTTTATCTGGTCACTTTTTTTCTTTCTCTTTTCATCGAAATTGCTCTTGTCCGGGCTGGCGCTTCCAGATTGACGCATGTCTGCCCAAGGTGGAGGAGCAGAACACGTGTGTCCGTCACCGCCTCGCAAACTACCATGGCCAACACATCGTCAACTTGTCTGAAACTTACAAACAGTTGTCGAGCCTGATTAAGAGAATGAGTCAAGAGATATCGATGTCAATCTAGAGATAATACTGGCAACGCAGCTATAGCAAGTCTTGCGACCTTCCTAGCAGTAAAGAAAGGGGGGAGGAAAGCATGTGTCACGTGGTGCTGCTTTCTAGCAGCAAGCACCTTGCGTCGCGAAACACATCGTCAATGGTATTAATCCGTGAGTATTTCAATCTGCAGGAAGTCCTTTCGAGTATTTCTGCGAAACTACCGACTTTGTACTCTTCTTGGTAGGCGCTCGGTCTGATAGACAGGGACCGGATGTTCGCGGGCGAGGCACGCAGGTAGCCTCGCTGAACGATCGCCTTCCAGCCTTCTCGCGCGCGATTCACTCACAGGATATGACAGGGGGTGCGGTGAGACTCTTGCTTTCAAAGGTCCCAAATCGAGTACTCTTGATCAGGAGCTTTGCATTCTACCGTCTGTTTGACTGCATTGCAGTTGGTCCAGATACTCGTACGAGGCTGCGACTTCATTGTTTTGACTTTTGACGCGTGTACCACAAAGGGTCCCCCTTTCCCTCTTCACAGCCGCCTACAGAACGATCATCACGTCGAAAGAGTCATAAGAACACCAATAACCGAGTAGAGTAGATCTAAAACAAAAGTATGAACCGTCTACAAATTGCATGCCGTCTATGCTGACGAGACCATTGCAAAGAGTTCAAGCCGAACAGACGCGTCAACCGGATGCGCCGCCCAGGAAGACGCACTGGACACTTTTTTGCGCGCTGGCAAACTGCAGTGTCGTTGGTCGGTCCGGCGTCCTCCCTGATCTGGAAGGTGGGGCAGGCAAGGCAGGAGGAGGAGGAAGCTATGACCACCGCTCCCGTTGCAGCTTGGAGCTGCCTTCCGCCCAGGTTCCCCCCGCCGCACAGGACGCAACTGCCAGCAGGAGGCAGCTTGGTTGGTTCCTGCTTCCGCATGTAGCTTACCTTACTTCACCAAGGTACTCACTTAGGTAAGCAAGAAAGCTCCATATTTTAATTATATAATGCACGCATGCTTACCTCAGCTGTTCTCAGGGTCCTAGAGATGGGCATGCACTCGACCCCTTGCCAAAACCCTTAAGCGCGTCTCACGGATGTAGCAGGGGGGGCTCTTGGTAGCTGCTTTCATCACTGCCTCGGTTCAGCAAAGACAAATCTTCAGCGAGGACTGCATTTGCGACACAAACATTACGAGATACCAGGGAACCCTTGACATGATTTATTGTTGATTCCATGAGAGATGGAGGGGTTTTGCCAATGTTGCATCGCATGCACCGCCACAAACCAAAGGTAAACTCCAACCTCACTTGGCGAAGCTCAAGAGCTTGCTACAAGGTGATATGTGGCTTATTGGGCGCATCCATTCCATCATCTCGATCTGGGTACTTCGAAATGAGTAGATCAAGAGCTAAAGACCGCAAAAGAATGAAAGTTCCCTTCTCGTCAAGTGGCAGACGCACGGCGCTACTAGGGAAGAAGCTTCACTACTAAACCTGGGCTCCGGGCTTTGGAGGTGCGAATCATTGACCCTGCCAGATGGACCCGGGATCGAACAGAGGCTCAGCGAGAATGTAAGAACGCAAGGCCACCCTACCTTACTAGAGATACCGCATCTGATGGAACTCTCATGTTGACTTCATCGTAGAAGTTGCGATTCTGCACCTGCTTTATGCAAATAGATACATAGGCATCTTCTTTCCCTACGGGAACACCTTCCAAGTTACCTGAATAAGGTGCTTGATTACGTCGAGATACCTCGTACCGAAAGTCCGAGCCGGAACCCCCCACGCCCTATGGCTCTTTACCAGCACAATGGGCGCGCTCCAACTACCGACCCAAGCCAACGGGCGGCAATAACGCAGGCCGGGAATTGCAACAAGAACCCGCTGGAAAGGACCAGCCTTCAGGTCAAATTCAACTTCCAACATCCACTTCCACCCGGCGTGCACTCAGATTACCTCATCTTACGGGATACTTTCCCTTATTCTGCACCGACTCGCAACGCGTAGCCGACGGAAGCCGAATTTCCTCACTTTCCCCCCATCCACCTTTCGCCGGACTTGTAATCAGATTCTTCATCTCGTGCTTCGCTAGCATTCTCTTTTCCGTTTCCTCGCTTTACGTTACAATAGATACCCGCAGTAAGCAACTCAAAAATGCGCAACTCAATTGTTCTCAGCGCCAGCCTGGCCCGCCCCTCGACATTTCATACAACCCGTCGATCGTTCGTGACCACCGCTGCAAAGAGTGTCGCCGCCGCTACTTCATCTTCAACGTCTGCGCCACCGCTGAACCCACGATGGCTTTCTGAGCTGCAGTCGCGCATCAAGCGGTGCGCCGGGCTCGACCTCAGCGGGCAGCAGAAGGAGGACTTGGCGGCTCTGCGGAAGGCTGTCGATGGGCAGTGGTTGGAGTTGCTCGCCGGACGGGAGGGGTTCCTCACCGGTCCCGGGTGGAGGGGCCTTGACAGACATACAGTGACTTGGGGAGACCAGGTGAGTTCCTGTTACACCATGAGTTTTCAAGGGATGAGATGAATTGGGTGCTGATTGTGATGGAAATCAGGATGCAATGGTGAGTTGAACCGGAGCCTGACTCCCCAAAGGCAGGGAGACAATAAACTGACATAAGGTACTACAGGGTATGGCTCGCACCCCGAATACACCATGAATCTCAATCTCACATCTGTAGGTCATGTAAACAATGTCGTCTACAACAAGTACGCCGAGTCGGCGCGGGTCAACTGGCTTCGTAACTTTGCGACGACGGTGGATCCTGAGCACAAGGATGAGTGGGACCAGCTCATGAGCCCAAAGGACATTGGCCTCATCATGAGAAGCATCAAAACGGACTACAAGTTTGTGAGTGACACTCTCATCAACAGGAACCACCAGGAACCGAAAGTCGTTGTATTTTGGGCGCCGCGGCGGTTGAGTCTAAAACACCTGAATCGCTCACACTGACAACCAATGTGAAGCCAATGGCCTACCCAGACCACGTGACGGTCCTCCATAAGCTTGTTTCCAAGCCGACATACGAATCAGATTTCATCCTACTTGAAGCTCTTCTCGTCTCCGAGGGCCACCGTCGCCCTGCCGCTCGCTGCTTCGAGGATATCGTGGTCTACGACTACAAGACCGCCAAGAGGGCGCCGCTGAAGCCCTTCATGGTCGACCGGCTACGGGAGACATACGAGGCGCAAGAACAGAGCAAGATTGACTGCGAGGAAAAAGTGAAGGGTCTCGTCGACATTGTCGAGCGTCTCGAGAAGGCCGCGTAAGGCGTGATGATTTGGGATGGCGCGTCACTGCTTTTTCGCCGCAAGAAGCGCGATTGTGTGTGTGAGAAGGGACGATTGTAAAAACATGAGACATTATACATAGACTTAGATCATAGACCTCAAATAGAGAATCAAGGTTCCCAAGTAACGTATCTTCACGGGCTGAAAAGCCGTTGGAAGCGCCCAGGTCTGAGGGAGGCTCCGGATCGACAGGCGATGACGGCGTGAGGCTTTTCATCGGCTGAAAGTGGAGATCTGCGCTACATCGACGATTCAATCAACGCCTTGCCCGTGTAACCTTGTTTGTTCCCCCCACCATCACCACCACCACCACATAGCCTTGCCTTTTAATGTTGCATATCGCGCAACCTCAAGTGTGAACCGTTGTCGTTTGCAGCATAGACACAATTTCTAGATCCTTTAAAGTTTCGTTCATCATCATGGGTAGTATCTCGTTCCGCGAGCATATCCGCTGGATCCCCGATGAGGCCAGCGAGCCGACCTCGACCATAGTGCTCACGTCCCCGCAGCGCCGTTTCGTGGACCTCCGCATTCTGAAGCAAACGCCAACCGTCGATGGCGTGCAAGGTAAATTCCAACGTCGTTTTCACACGCGACCTGGCCCAGGACCCCCAAAAGCCACCGCGACTACCAGACAACTCCAGAGCTAACACCCACAAAGACACGCACGGCATCGAGCGCCTGGAATGGGGCATCGCAGGAACCTCGTCGTCGTCCACCCGCACCGACGACCAGGGCGCCGAGGTGCGCCACTCGCGCTGGGAGCACTGGATCGACTCGCGCACGACGGAGCCCGAGAACGCGGCCGACGAGGGCGACATGTACGAGCGGCCCGACGGGCTGACGCTCGAAAAGGGACGGATGGTGAACCCTGCCACCGGCGCGGAGACGGATTACGAAGAGCTGTGGAGGGACGTCGAGCCCGTTACGGTTCCTCCGGTCGGTGCCGTGGCCGAGGGCGGCGAGGCTCCGAAGGGTGTTGAGTGTGTTGTGCTCAAGCACGAGGACGAGACGGGCGGGGCGCGGGGTATGGTTGTGTGGTTGGGGCGGTTCTGTCAGGGGATTTCGAGGGTCGGGGAGGAGGTTGCGGCGGAGAGGTGGGAGTGGAAGGAAGGGGAGGGGTGGAGGCGGACTGTGAGGATCGGGGATCGGGCTTTGCCTTGCGAGGTGCTGTTGATGACGGGTGCGGCGTTGAGTGTTGGGACGCATGTTGTTCATGAGGAGGTTGTCTGGGATGTGCTCGAGAGCCGGTGATTGTGCGGCCTTTTCGTGATCTTCATAGTAAGATGAGATTGAGGTGTCTAGGCTGTTGTTCCCCTAGATGGTTTCCAGAGACTAGATTGCCACGGTTGGGTAGAAAGAGCAGCATTGTGGTTAGAGGAGATTCCCTAGAGATTGCACGCTCAAATTCATGGATTGTTTTCTCATTCTTCGTCTCGACTCTTGTCGCTGCCCTTTAGAGGAAGTGAAGTTTAGAAAATAGGTGTCAGTATATATTAAAAAACCAGGTGACAACCGACGTCTACTCAGCTTGCATGAATGCCCCAAACCCATATCTACGAGTTGAGGTAGCGAAGCTAAGAGTTGAAATCTGCATGTGAGCATCAACACACATCCATGATAGGCGGCTCCGAACAAGTCCGTTCTAGTGCATCCATGTCTTTTGGGGAAGAGTTTCAGGCCAGCTGAAGTTGAGAGTTTCGCCAATCAGGTCCGGATGCGAGGTCCCAGCGACGCACGAACCTGAAGTGCGATGTATGGGCAGTTTAGATGAATCAGTTGCGCACCTGAGAAAAAGAGGCTTCGGACAAGTGCTGGGCTCTGGCATCCAAGGTGATTGTCTGGCGCTCATTTCAATACGAGGTTTTACTCCATTCTTCTGGCTGAAAGGCTCAATCTCGAAGATGATGCACCACTCATGCTTGCTATGTTCATTTAACAAAGGGATCAAGGGGAGATTCCTCCTCCTGATAGCATTATGGTTCTCGAGCTGTGTCTTAATCAGCGGTTGAGGTGACTTAAATCGTAGACGAGACTCTCTTCGAGTGAAGATCCCGCAACACCAGCTCCAAGTAATGAGCACTCCAACTTCAGCATACCTACATACGGTAGCCTGAGTATTCAAGTTGTAGCAAACAACGGCATCCGTTTATTTTCAGAACAAAGTTCATGGATTCTGCGGTTCAGACATTTGGACTTCAAGGTGATGGATGGCCGACATACAGAAGCCATGGAACCAAAAGGTATACGGAATCTGTGGCATTATTTCCCGCATCGCTGTCAAGTTTCTTTTCTCCAGCACATATCCAGCATCTGGCAACACCTAAGATATATCAAAGACCATTCTTCGATTGATTTCGTCTCTTACATCTTATACTGAGAAAAGTCCTGCATCAGAAATCCGGAAACACCACCAACGTCCAACCCGACTCTTGATTAATCATGGCTACAACTTTCCACCAATTTGGCTTACTCCCTGTCGAGGTGCGACTACAAGTGTGGGAATGCAATCTTCGGTCTGCAGACCCAGCTTTTCACGTCTTCTCTATCAAAGGCCGAGCTACGACTACTATGTCAACCGATCTTACACACAAAACACCAACGCAAGTTCACCAATACGAGACTTATGTTCTTTCCAATCCTACATACACACCAAAAAAGCGGTGTCCGTGGTCCGAGTCAGATCCTTCGACATACCGCGTCGATGCCGGCCTTTGGTCCGCCTGTAAGGAGTCCAGAGACGTGGTTCAAAAGCATTACGCAACGCTGGTAAACCCTTCTAGCGGCCACAGCTCTTCTACACGACATAATCAACCTATAAAAAGCGCTTCCGGATCAAGCATCCTTCCAGGCAAAGATCTCATCATCTTCCAAGTTGCACCCGACGCATACGTCCCCGTCGGAGACGCGTTATCCGCCCTCCGTCCCTTCTTCCAAAACGACGGATCCCAACTGTTGCACATCGCGTTCGAATTCACCGACGACTGGGACATCCAGCCCACCGAAGACATCAAGTCCATGATTAATCAACCAGGTCCCCGGGCTTGCTTTATCCGCCTCTTGGAACGAACTATGTGTGGGCTTCTTTCGGCCAAGTTATACCTCATGGATTACGGCTCGAAGGGGGCCGAGGTCGGGTCGCCGGTGCTCTTCTCCGCTGGAGGTTACGATCTCAGCGAAATAGAGTGGACGCCCACACCGACTGCGGCGCCTGATATATGTGCCGCGAGATATTTTACTATCGACCTCTCCATCCTAGGTTTGAAGTACTGGCCCTTTTTCCTACCGATGTGGGCGCCTGATGATCTATTGACTTCGCGGCCGTTTGTTCATTACTCGTCTTCCATAGCCAAGGTTGCGGTGCTCCGATCCGAGAGAAGAACTCAGGCCGAAGAATCAGGCGGTGAGGGAAGGGGATGAGAGTAAGCGTCCTCTGTGTCCTACCCAATGCATTATTGCTGATTTTTGTCTAGGTGTATGTAAAATAACAATATCGTATCGTGTGATTTCCCCGAAAGCCTGATCCCATTAAGGCCGATCTTTTGCGCCTGTAAAGCCGGGAAAAAACTACCAGATGTAAAATAATACGATGGAACAACGGACTGCTCAACGTTCAAACTGTAAGAAAGTGGTAGGTCCCTCTGTAAAACATCTAGGCACTGATATCACCAAAGAACTCTACCGTAACTAGAAAGCCTCTACTTTTCAAGGGAATTAAGAGCCTTACTATCTGTCACAAGGATTCTCCCCTGCATAGAAATACTAGCCTACAATGTGATCTCTCGAATAGCCTCCCTTCCGTACTTCGCGCTACCGGATTACAGTGCTAAGAGTTGAGGGTATGAAAGGGTGGTAGACCTGGCAGAAAGAAAACGAGAAATCTCAAATAATAGTTAATATATAGACGACATCGTGGCCAAACGGGAGATTATAATTTTCCACGAGCTTGGTGCCATTACAGGCTCAGGAGCGTGTCTTTCTCTATCATTTACAGCATTTCCGATATTTCCAATAATTGATCAGTTTTGATTTAAATAAGACCTCGCATCAGAGAGGGGTAGCCATTCCGACTTTCGGCACTAGGAACTGTTCTAGGCAGGTGGCAGATGTTAAGCGGGGAAGCCAAGACGATCTGCCTCATTTCACAGCGATTTCCCAAAGGCATTCAAATAGCGCTTACAGATCGTAGCATTTCGAAGGATCAGGTCGCATTCGGGGTTGCAGAAAGCCTAAGAGGAGACTTGGGACCTCAATATCAGGTTATCTCGGCCGGATCACAACCCCTCGGCGTGATAACCTCAGCAAGTCCGAGCGAAGTGATATGCATGGGCAGCGGGGCATTGGCCAATCAAGACGATCCACAGAGTCGCAATAAACTCTTTTGGCCCTGGTTCGGCCTGTCATTGCATTTGTTACGTTACGTCCGCAACTCAAGAAGCTATTGCTTGCGTTCTTGCTATGGACTGACGCTGCCCATAAAGACTGCGGCCTGTCGTCTCAGAACTGGGCGGCTGGTTTGAAGCTGACATTTGCATAGCTTCTTCAGGAAAACGAGGTCATCCTGCGCGCAACGATGGGAGTCTCCAAGAGAACCGATCTTTTTACTCTGACTTGGGTGCTATTGTCACTCTTTGCCAATGCCGCAGCAGCCGCCGGCGTGAAGAGCATTTTCCTCTTCAAGGATGTTCTCCAGTCGAACACCACAGCTCTCAAGACCTCCGGCTTCGACACCCTCCTCATCTTCCGTATCGGTCTCCTCGGCAATGGCGATCTCGTCTACTACTCAACAGGAGACGCGGGCGAGGCAGTCGACGCGCCCGTGGTGACGAATGGCTCATATGTTGGTGGAACCGCGTTGGCGGAAAAGGTTAAATCCTTCAAGACGGGCACAACCAACATCAACAGGGTGGAGATATCGCTGGTGTCACATGACACGACATTTCAGATCATCCGCGATTTGATCAACGCAGACGGGACAGGATCTGACACAAAGTTGTACAAGAACTTTGAGGTTCTGAAGGCCGAGTGGGATCTTGACGCATTCAACAACGACGATGAGGGCGTCTATGACGTGGCGAGCACAGTCAGTTTTGCTCAGATGCTTGGAAAGATGGGTTACCAGTATTCTATTGCGCCGTACACCAACAGTGGCTTCTGGGCGAACGTCAGAACACAAGTTGAATCCGCGAACCCTGGTCTGTTCGATAGGGTGTACCTCCAAGTCTACGACGGCGGAGCTGGCAACAATCCTGGAACGTGGCAGACGACCCTCGGCATGAAGGTGATCCCTCTTGTGTGGGTAGTCAATGACGCAAAGCCGTCTCAAGGAACGACTGCGACTCAAGCCCAGCAACGATTTGCAAGCTGGTTCTCGCAATACGTGGTGGCGGGCGGTGGGTACTGGAACGATTACGATATTGAGAAGATGGGCTCGTCTTACACGGATTACGGAGCTGCACTTACTAGTGTCTTCTAATGCAGAGTGCGCAATTTCTCTTTTTATCTCTTCGGGTATCATATCTTTGTCATTTTCCCTCAGCAGGAGTCATTCGAATCTCCCATGTTGCCAAGAATTAGTCGTTGCTTTGGTCTCGGCATTTGCCATCTAGAAACCCTGACAAGTGTGCACCCTGATTCTTGTTGCCTTGAAACGAAGTTCGGTTGAAGAACGGTGGAAGCAAACATCGTTATTAGCAAACTGCTCGAGATGTAGACCCGTCGGTTGATGCCAGTACTGTAAGTTCAGAAGTGTAAGTCAACCCGATTACCCCTCACGATTCCCCGCCACCTCCCAGTTTCAACGCAAGAAAATCATCTACCAACCAGTTCTCAAAAGGAGATAAGACTTTCACTATGATGAACTATCTGACTGATTGATAATTGTTATAGTGCGCCACGTCTCTGGTGATTCGTTGGATTCCGGAAACTGGGCAAACATCGACGCCACTCTAGCAAACATGACCAGGGCGAATTCGAATTCCACTGAAAAGCTCACAGTGGACGACGTACCAAGTCAACTTCGTATATTGAGCCAGTGGTGTTGTTGAAATGGGGAAATATGGCAACCACCACGACTTTGATCCATGAGATTGATTACGTTGTTCCGGCAAATACCATCGTTGACAAATCAACGCACGAAGCTACTCGTGCGCGGGAGACCGGACTTGTCACTCATATCGGGTTAGTGCGGACGGGAGACGTTGTAGACGTCAACACCACGAGATGGACACCAATTCCAGCTTTTGGGTATGATAGGGCTAGTCTGGAGGGGTAAAAGCGGAGCGAAGTTCTTCGTCGAGGGAGCTCGACTATCGAACCCTGTCCAGCCAGAAATATTTAAGCTCAAGTCGCCCTGCCTCTTAAACTTTTTAATTAATCATGCTAGTGGAATATCTTTGCTCCTGAAATCCCGACCCTTCTCGACTCGAAATTATATACCCACTGCACTGCGACAATGAACGACTTTCTGGACTGGTGTCCACCTGGTTACGTTGAGGTTCTCGGCAGCCTCGGCGTTCAAGCGGGATATTTCGCTTGTGGGATGATCATGGAAAAGATGCGGCCTGCCTACGTCACCGCAACATCTCGTGAAGTCCTGAACAAGAGTATTCTGAACCACGTCATTCTGAATTCCCTCCACTTCGCCATAGCAACTTGTATGGGTGGACACTCGATTTTGTCACAAGGATATCCCACAAAGTACCAGCTGCCGTCGTGGACCGAGCTCATTTCTCAGCTGGTGATCGGCCTTGTGTTACGAGATGCTGTATTTTGGATCATCCACCGACTGTTACACATCCCTGGACTATATCGAGTGCACGCGAAGCATCATGAGATCAAGAACCCAGGCGAACACCACGTTTTCACCATCAGCTACATGTCCGTTGCAGACTTTTTCTTCTTGTACGCAGTTCCGATAGTATCCGTGGCGAAGTTCTTGGATATGAAGCTCGTCGCAACTTTGGTTTTCTCCTTCATCTCTGCAACAGGAGAGCAAGTTAAACTTGTTTGGGGAGACGAGGCCCATGACGAGCATCACGTGAATGGCGCGGTCAATTTCGGAGCATACGGTCCCATGGACTGGGTTTGTGGAACTAGCGGTCAGTGATTTCTTGTCAAGATTCCATGTCCCGATGCATGATTGCTTATCTGACCTCCTATTACAGTCTGAAGAATACCGCGCGAGACACGTGGACGAATGAATGCACAGCGGCCCGCTGTGGAGCGTGGAATGCCGATGTGGTTTGCCGTGCTTTTGAGATCGTGGGCGATTTGAATTACGATGGCCCTGCCTATTGGGTTGTCATTAAGTATTTGGTAATTTGGTCCGTGTATGTCTGCAAATTTTTGAGCGATTACGGTTGGATCTTTGAGCGAGGGCGGCAGCGTTGGACTCTACTCAATTATGGATAGTTGTCACTCATTCGACAGTCGATCATGTTTCGATCGAGTCATGTTTCGTTGCTTCATTATCGTGGGTGGACTAGAGTCGAGGTGTTTTAGGTCGTTAATTCACTGCATGGAGGAGTTCCTAATGATCAAGGCCTCATGATTGCTTCCGCTTGGGATCTTGTAGCCGCGCTAATTCCAACAGAAGCCTATAGTTGTAAATTGTAAAGTCCACCTCACGCAAGGACTTTGCATGCCACTCTCTCCCCTGTATCGCAATGTTTCGTGCTCGTTGCTGCCCACTATCAGTTGTAGTCAAGTATGAAACAAGCTCAGGTAGCTCCTCCATGCTCAGGCTGACGGGCACATAATGTGTCCAAGGAACGAGGCGTTCATCGTGCCACTCGCGGAGAAGAGTCTGTTTCAGTGGTGTGGACTTTGATGCTAGGAACTTGTGATAGCGCCCGCTGATGCCGTTTCCGTCAAGGTCGAAGACGAGCCGTGAGCGAAACGCTTGATTCTTGTCCACCCAAGACCTCACATTGAAGTACGAGTGTTGGTCTCTGCACTGTGTCCTCCGGCACTGGAACAACCTTGTGAAAGCAACGTCGTACAAGCGACTGTTCAAGAAGCTTGAGGTCACACGCTCGACCACGCCGTTGACTAGCCTCAGGTAGGTATGGTGCTGTTCCTCGGGCTGTTGCAATTTCTGTGCCAAGGCCACGAATCTCTGGCGGTGATAGTTCCTCCAACTGCCATCTACAGCGAAGCCACCGGTGTTGGACCCAGTCCAATAGACGTTATTGCTTTTTTCCTCCCACTGGATATCTTGGTCATCGGCATACTGAAATTCTTCCTCCAAATATGCCGGGCTCGGGTACACAATATCTCCCATTGATGAGAGAACACCTGTGGATAGGATAGGCACCAGTCCCTCAATCAAACGGAACGACTTTGGTCTCGCAATGAGACCATGTAGGGAGGTATGCTCGGGATGTTGGCATAGATCCGCAGCCATTGATAGGTCTGACACAAATGGAAGGCCACAGGAATCGACGGTCGAGTTTCTCGTGTGCCTCGATGCGAGTTGCTCTTGGTCTAAACAGTGTTTCGTGATTTCTTTGCCGACTGGTCGTCCCGACATATTTTTCAGATTGAAACGGCCGAGGGTGATTGAAGGCTGTCCATCAACATCTCCTGCAAACTGCGAGGGGAGGAGAACTCGCGGCTCGTCGAGGTGATTTACGAGAAACTTCAAATCTGGGATCTTGCTATGCTCTAAACCCTTTAACAACTTGTTGAATGAAGACGCAATGTTTCGGTCGAAAGTACGGTATGCGTGCTGGCATTGGATTGTGCCTCGTGTAGACGAAAAGGAGCAAAGCCAAAGATCACTTCCCGTCGCTTCGTACGCCGTGCGCATCACTTGATTAACTTGTTCACCGCTCATCTTGAGCAAAGGCGATACAGAATCAAATATCATATCGAAATCGTCGATAATGGGAGACTGGTTCGCTACTGCAAAGTCGAACCATTCTCCAAGGCCTGGAGGTGGCTCTGTCCCATATCGACGTACGTATTCGACATGGGCTGCCGTGTAGTTGGCCGATTGTGTTCTCAGCAGGTGTTGAAATTTGATGTCTGCTTGTCGGCTTAAAATCTCAACAGGATGTTTCTCGGAATGACCTGCAAATGTTTGAGCTGTAGAGACTGCATCTCTGGCAACGAAAAGATTCATAATGTAAGGGCCAAGAGAAGCAATAGCTAATAACCATAGTGTTGGAACTCTCTTCGTCTTTGATGGCTTGGATATCAAGTGTACCATATTACCCAGCGCCAGTATAGACACTGCCATATGTGAGATTGCATGAAACTCTGAGTCTTGTGAAAAGGGACCAAGGGTTGCGGTGATCCCAAAAGTCCCTATCGCTGGTGCAATGCGCCAAGAAGTGCATTCGGCCTAATGAAAGTGTGTCAGTCTCAGAGCTTACAGGGTAGAGCAAACGGATTTAGTTACAGTTCTTGCCATGAAATACCATGCCAAAGCCTTAGTAATGCCCAAGAATACTGTGCTCGGAATGTTGATCGTCGTAAAGTCGAAAATGCTGGCATCCAGTATCAAGCACGTGACGAGTAGGAACACGACCCGAGGAGCCAATGCAGTGACAGATTGTTGAAGATGCACCTTTGGATAGCAATATGTTCGGTGTGCTGCGTTAGCATACTCAAAGGAAGTATAGATGATGAGCATCGCAATAGCTGGTATCGTCGCGAAGGCAGATGCCTCAAGATCCCAGCCACATAGTGTGAAGGCCGCAAAGAGTCCGATTAAGAATGATCCAGGTAATGTATCAAAAAGAAAGATTTGTACTTTCGGTCGAATCAACGGCGTGATATCGGGTGATGGGAGATCGGATCGCGAGAAGCCCTTGTGAACAAGCAAAAGGAACGGAGATAGAACTGGCTGGAAGTTCCGTTAGTCAAATGGAAGGATAAGTATAGTAAAGGGATGATTATAAAGGCGATACTTACCAGAACGACTATAATGGTCTTGTACTCTGCTCTGTAGACCGAGACCACAGCGATTGCAAAAGCGACTGCCCAGAGACGTACGGAGCCTAGTGCAACCCCCAAACCGGGACTTCGAGGGATGAGGGACGGGAGGCTGTTCTTCGAGCCCTTGCTGTCTCCCAGACTGTATGAGCTTTGAAGAGTACTCCGAAAGAGAATTGGCAGTAGTAGCCAGCAAAGGAGCTCCGACCACAGCTCAGCGGCATTGGAAGAAAGGTAATGGGTCACAACGGTGCAGATCGCAGCTGCTCCCGCAGGTCCCGTGATGGAGCCGGACTCCTCGATAGACTGCCATTGGAGCATTGGAGCATTCCCATTTGTTGTTACAAGCAGACTTGAAAGACGATTACTTCGAAAGATGAATAGTTGTAGTGAAGGAAGGAGGGATAATCATCTTTGCAACATTGCAACAGAGTCCGAAACAGAGTGTAGACGAGGGAAAGATGCTTAGATCCGGTGGAGCAGCCTCGCAGGGTTTTACAGCCATGTGTCAGGCAAGAGCAACCGGCATACACGACGAGAGAATAGGAACATAACCCTGGTAGCCAGCAATGGGTTGAATCAAAATGATGTGATGAATGGCTTATGCTAGACACCACTGGTCGGCTTCCCAGAGGTACAATCGGGAATACGGCAGGACCCATAACGATTTGTCCGAGACGCCACGCCATAATTCTATATTGCGAAGTAAATTCTTGATGATGATGATGAAGGTCAATAGTAGCTTGAGGTTGGGATTCATAGTCTGTAAAGCAACTAGGCTGCTTTGAGCTATACGAGGCTCGTCCCATCCGTCGTCGAGAAAGACGTCAGAGCCAAGACACCAACGGAAGCCGGGCGATAAACCCATCTTGACCGGGCGGCTCAATTGCTCCCACTTACCAATTCATCCAATCATTCAATACACCCTTGTCTGACGATGTGACTGCTAATACATTCCGAGAGAAAGACAGCTCTTGGATCTGTCGGGTGTGGGCCGAGGAGGCGGAGTAGCATTGGCATGACGTTTGGTAATTAGCCCCAGGTCTCTCCAAGAGGTGCCAATTTTCAGGCAGCAGTATAACAAAGAAGTGTTAGGGGCGTTCTGTGGCCATGCGACACCGTGGCCCCGCGATTCGGAACGAAGTCGAGCTGCTAGGGCTGGGAGAAATGGTTCGAACGGACTGTGTTGAGTCGGTGCATGTATATCATGCTGTACTTGCATCTACGGATACCCCAAGCGGGATGTTGCCGGCAGAAGATGGAAGTGACGAATATTTTACCGTTCAACATTGGAGTTCCGCATGCGAACCGCATTCGGGCGTCGGAGACTTACTTAGCCAACGTAGATCTGATCCTTCAGGTTATGGTCTGGAGTGTCTTAGAGGTGCTTTTCGATAACGCTTGATTGTTCGCTGCGTCATTCTCTGGTGATCTCTGGGATGGGTCGAGATCAGGTAGAAAGCTTCGGGACGCAAGAAAGCCTGGGAATATAGCCCTGAGAGATTGTTGATTATTCATGTTCAAACATCCAGAAAGCCATCGACTGGATATCAGTTATTGAGCTGACAACGCACTCCGGTTCAAGTGATGCCTTGATATACGATATTGGTCCAATTTATTGTCAACCAATAGGAAGGGTGGCCGAGTTGGTTATGGCGCCAGGTTAAGGTCAGCTTAACATCTGTTTCCTGGTGGGGCAACCCGCGCGAGTTCGAGTCTCGTCCCTTTCATTTTGCCGTTTTTTTGACTGTAAAAAGGGTCTACAACGTCAGTCGGGTAACGATTTGGACTTCTTTCTGCTTTTGCGGCCAGAATTTGGCCAACTAAAAGGTGTGTGTCATGGTACGAGATGTCGCGGAAGCTACGAAGCGGCCGTCGACGCGTGGATGAAGTGCACTCTTCTCTTCATGGGGGTATCTATGATGGCATCCTCGACTAATTCTGACTAGGCATCTCTCCACCGCGCGATCTTTGTCTTATATGAACTGTCCGCGTCTCTTTCAAACCGTCCTCCCACTGATATCTTCTCGCATCATCTTAAATGGTGTACCGGAACCGCGGACTCTCATCGCCCAGCTCCGCCAGCTCGTCATCAGAGAGGTCGACGTACTTGTTTTCCATACGACCACCCCGCCGCTGCTTGTTCTCCCTCGAGTACCAGAACCACATGAAGCCGTACATGCATGTTGCCATACCGACCATGCTCAGCGTCACGGCGTGACCGCGGATATAGCGCGGCTTATCGACAGCTTGGCTGCGGAGGGTTCTTCTGTCAGCTTTGTTGATGTGAAGGTGGTGATTATGTGGTGCGATGGGTTTAAAAAAAGGGAGGACTCACTAGATGAAGGACGACATGACGCCGGAGCAGTTGCCGATGGTGAGCTGCATACCACTCGCGGTCGTCCGCTTGCCGTATCTCGGCGAGTTGTTCGGAAGCTATAACAAACACCAGAACTGTCAGTCTCGACGTCTTGTCGATGACACCAGAACAGCAGAAGAGGAGGGTGACGACTCACCCAAGCAAGTGGTAACCCAACCACGACGTACAATCCCGCCGCGACAAGGAAGCATCCAAAGTAATGAACCCCATTCGAAGTCGGTGATATGAGCACGCCGTAACCGATGACGCTGATGCTCCCAAAGATGACACAGAACAGGCCGCGCTTTTGTGTGCGGTCCGACAGGAAAGCCATGGTCATGTACACCACGGCACCGAGAAAGTAGCACGGTACAGTCAGCAGCTGCACCTGCGCCGCCGTCCACGTTCCGAGACCATTTATAATGGTCGGGAGGAAAGTCGAGAAGCCTACCATCGTCAGTCACAAACCCTACAACATCAAGAACGAGTGAAACTCACCGTAGAGCATCGTATCAGCCCCAAATTGCGCAACGCAAAACACCCATACCTTCCAATCCATAAACGCCTTGACCATATCCCCGCGACTAAACTCCTGCGCACTGCTCGTGTTGCCGTACTCCCTCCCCCTCCGCCTCACCAATACCGCCTTCTCCTCCTCGCTCAGGAAGTACGCGCTACCCGCGTCGTTGGGCAACGCGAAATACGTCACCACACCAAGCACGACCGTCGGCAAGCCCTCAATGATCATAATCCACCGCCACCCGCTCAACCCGGCGACACCCTCCATGTGCCCGATCCCGTACGCCAACAGACCACCTAACCCGCCCGCGATGGCAGCGCTGACGAATAGGTAGCCCACGCGCAGCGCGAGCTCGTGCTTACTGTAGAAGAAGGTGAGGTAGACGTTTAACCCCGGGAAGAGGCCTGCTTCGACGACGCCTAGGAGGAGGCGGCAGGCGATGAGGGCGCCGTAGGAGTTTACTAGCCCCGTGAGGGTGGCGATGATGCCCCAAGAGACTGTGATGAAGGCGATCCAGCGGCGCGGGGTGAGGAGTTTGAGGACGAGGTTGGAGGGGACCTCGAAGATGATATAGGTTACGAAGAGGATTGAGACGGCGACTTGAAATTGGTTGCCTTGGAGGTTGAGGTCGCGTTCGAGGTTGTAGAGGCGGGCGTTGCCGATGTTGACGCTGTAAGCGTGAGTTGAGGGCTGGGAGTATATCCGGAGATGACCATGAAACTTACCGGTCGAGGAAGCTGAATAGGTAGAGGAGCATCACGAGGGGCACGATGTGCATGTCTAGTTTGCGGACGATTTTCTGTTCTGCGATGCGGTCTGCGAGCTCTTGGTCACGGGCGTCCATGTCGGGGGAACTGGTGCTGGGGCCCAGGCCGGTGTCTTCGTAGACGCGGTCCTTGCCGGAGGCGTCCATGGTCGTTATGGTCATGCCGGTGTTACGGCGATAGGCCGGGCTGAAGAAGAAAAAACCTCTATGATGTCCCGGGTGTGCGGGGTGGTCCGGAAGCGACGAGCGGCTCAGTGAGTTTGCGCCGGCGATGAGCTTACCGCGGGCCTTTCTCTGAAGAGCTGGGATCAAGTTCTGAAAAGGTGTGAGGTAAGACTTGCCCCGACCTCTCTCTTAACCCAGCCGTTAGAATGGGTTGAGAGCTCCCTAGAATTCCACTCCGTTATCGCCAGATGATCATCAAGGTGACGATGAGCGCAGGGTTTGGTGACGTTTCAACGGCGGGAAGAGTGTGTGTAAGGTATGAAATCTATCGCAAACTGCGCAAACAATGAGATTTTCTCTCTGTAACCTGCCCCTCCGGTTCCTATGTCGGCGGGGTCCCTGAAGAGACAATGGCACGATGTCGACTAGGTAGTCACCGAAACTCCGCCGAAAAAAAGCTTACGAGCTAGAGGGATAAAGACAATATGGGAAGCGCCGCTTCTGCGAGTCAGCCAAGTTTGGAATCAATTGAAGGATAATTGACTAGCAGAGATGAGGCTCGATTGACGACAATGTAAAGCAAGAGTAAGTAGCAGGTCCTAGAAGGTGGCACTATAGATAGAGTAAGAGAAAACTTGAAGAGTCACATAGACAATTAGAAACACAGCAAGCCAGCCCCTCCCCCTCCATCGTCCCGCCCAGTTCTTACCTCCCCCACGGCGGCGGGATTATCTTGACATGTGCAGATAAGACCGCAAAAAGCCAAGACAACCCCCCGGGTCTGGAACGCAACCGTGGTAAGCTCGGAGCTGCGAGCACTCTATGAGTCTCTAGAGGCGTCGGGTGGCTGGTCTGGTTGGATTTTCTTTGCTTGTTTCATTTGTCAGAGACCCGCCCGCGTTATGTTCTATTGCCGCACATGTAGGAGATACCCGACGTGGTGCCACCGCCCTATGCCGTGCTATAGTGTGCGTAAGCAGAAGTGCAGGCCGCGACACACGTTACTGCTTGCTTAAGTACCCCAGAAAGATATACACCCTACAGTTACTCGTTATTGCTGTCGAGTTCCAAGACTTGTTATCGTGATGTTGCGTCTGAAGTCTTGGCTTGCAGGTAGAGATAGACGCCGTTCAATAGCATCGGTAATTTTGTCGCCGATGGGTTTGTAGGATCAGCATGCTCACTAGTCCTTCTTTTCGAGGCTACATAGAGCTGCCAGCGAGGACAGGCATCAAGCTGCATTTTGAACCGCTTGTTGAAGCGATTAAGAATATGACATCAGTAATATCGAAGAGCCTTACGCAAATCCCCAATTGCGCCAACGATGTCGACCGAGTTTCTTCGCGTTACAATCGAGACCAAGTGCATTCAAATTGTACATTGAGTGATGAGGTATCCTTAGACAGAGTCATATCGCGACGCAGTTCCGTCTCAAAACCAAATGAAACACCCGCGATTTCAATGTTTACATGTAGAAGCAATCGCCAAAAGGTTACACAAGAGCCAGTAACGCAAACACTCACACATTTCCATCCCATCTCCCAGCTTCCAGAACGAAACATCAACAACTTGGGATGAACAACTGGCCCCTGTCAACAAAACATCCCCGTGCTCCCCTTCGTGCATACTTCACTCTCCAAGATTCAAGATTCAAACCGTGCTCAGCCCTCAGAACCCTTCAAAACCTTCCCCTCTCCCGCATTCTCACCCACGGCCTTCACAAGTAAAGACCAACCAGCTCCATCTCGTCGCGGTGAGGACCACTTGAGTGAGTGAGTGAGGCCCACCTCATCCGACGCAGTCAGCAAACGCCGCATTCTAACCTGCACGCCACGCTCCCACCGGCAAGCCTCGCAGGTCGCAGGCCGCATCCGCCGGGTCGCCGTTTGACATGACGAAACGGATTGAGTACACCCGAACCCAGCGAGCTCATCATAAATACAAGGGACCGTCAGTTTTTTTTCCGATGTTCTCAAAAGACGTCTGACCTTTCAGCCTCCTTCAAAACCTCAAGTCACACAAGCTCACAGCAATGGTTTACTGCTTACATCTTTCCATGTCGTACACATTACGAAGATTATCTACCGAACATCCTCTACGTGGAAATACACCCGTCCCCTTAAACAGTCCGTCTTCTTTTTTATAGAGCCTGCTTTCCTTGCCTGTTTCTGATACCAATCTGTCCCGTATGGAACTCGATGCAACGCTTTCTCAAAAATCTTCAGGTAAATAACAATCCCTCCTCTGGATGATCCTTATATGCATTTCCCCTTTAATCTCTGCCTTTCCTTTGAATTCCTCCAATCTTTCCACAACAAAGCTTACACAAATAACAAAAGAAATTATAGCATTATCGATACCTCTCGGTAGGCATCTCGTAGACATCCGGTACAGGACCCGAGTTATACGTCATACCCGGCGCGGGTCTCGACTGCTGTTGCGGCGGCTGCTGCGGCCTGGGTTGCGACTCGCCCATCTCGACGACTTCGTCTCCTCCCATTTCTGCGGGTAGGATTCTCGTTCCACCGAGCTCCTGCGCACCACCCGTCGGCGGGCGAGATCCATATCCGGCACCCGCGGGCGAAACTGTGCTGTTTGTCATGGGGCTCACGCTCTGCGAAGGCGGCGAGAGCTGGTGCTTGGGCACGGGCTGTCGTCTCTGCGTTCCCGCACCCGCTCCGAGCGCAGCAGCGCCTGCAGCAGCACCACCGTAGCCGGCCCCAGTCTCGGACATACCTCCACCGGGCCCGCTGAGGGGCGAGGGACCGTTGGGATCGTAGGCGCGCATGTCGTCGAGGTCGGCGCGAGAAGGTCGGTTAGCCTTACGGCGCTTGTAAAGCCAGTAGCCGATACCAATGAGAGCAGCAAGTCCAACAATGCCAACACCAACACCGATTCCGGCCTGTGCGCCGGTGGAAAGGCCTCCGCCGCTGCTGGAACCCGTGCTCTGCGCACCACCGGTCGCGGTTGCGGTGCCCAGGCTGCCGGTCGTCGGGCCGCTTTCAACTGTAGTAGGCACGGCGGTGTCGATGGAGGTGGAGGTGACGGTCAGGGTGGATTCGACGGTGATTGTGGTCTGGGCATTGTTGAAAAGGGTGCTTGTTACCATGGAGGTGAGGATGGTATTCGAGGTCGTTGTGAGGAGCACGGTGCTGGTCCGGGTGGCCAGGACGGTGGAATCGGCGCCTGCTGAGCCGGAGACGGTGACGACTACGGTGACGAGAGCGCGCTTCTCGATGACGCCGTATCTTCGGAGATCGTTGGCTTCGGCGGCGGGCGTGATTTGAGCAGCCGGGGCGTCGTAGGGAGCATCGAGAACAGGGAGGAAGTTGAGACTGCGCTTGGCAAGGACGGTAGAGGTGACATAGTTGGTCACGGTGGCGGTCGCGACATCGTTGCTGGTGATGGTGGTGGTCTGGAAGGTCGTGGAAGTGACGACAACGGTAGTGGTGACTGTACGCAAGAAGACTGTAGTGGACGTGACTGTTCCTCCTCCGCCGCCGCCCACGGTGGTGGTGATGGTGACTGTGGTGGTGGCCTCTGCCGCAGCTGTGGTCTCTGTCGTGGCCGCCGGAGTCGTGGCTACGGGTGTTGTGGAAGTGGGCGTCGAGCCGGTGCCGGTTTGTCGGGGTCGGAGGACAGGCAGGGGCTTGCTGCCATTATCGACAAAGGGAAAGGCGGTGGTGAAGGAGGACCAGAGTAGGGCCGCGAGGCCGGCTGATCCGAGACGCATGGTTGCGATGCGGTCACTCTACGACGAGTAGAGGACCGAGAATGAGCGCAATGGCAGTGGTGAGGATTGAGGTTGACTCTTGTTGAGTGGAAGTGGGAGGTTTAAACGGGGGAGGGGGGCGTAGAGTCGAGGACGAATTGATGGAGGATGAGGAGGATGCGGTAGGTAGTAACCTAGGGTAAGGCGGGTCGGAAACAAGTGTGAGTGAGGTGTGTGTGTGTGTGTACTCCGTGTGTGTTGTGCCACCACGGCGAAACACGGTGGAATGGGGATGGCGTCGTACAGTTTGGTTGTGGGAAGAGGCAACGAAACGGTGCGAGTAGACGGATGAACAGTCAATCGACGGGGGATACGAAAGTGAAGATGGGAAGCAGAGGATGGAAGATCCGCTAGGTCACGCCGGCACAGGTTCGGTTGATTACGAGAAGAACTTTTTAGTGGAAGGAACGGAGACTCGAGAGTGCGGGAAAGAGCGATGTAGATTTAGCATCGATTGGCGACTGCCTCCAAAATCAGTCCTGGAGTCCTGGAGTCCTGGGCTGTTTGTTGGCTGTTCACTAACTTCGCTTCGTACACAACTTCTTTCTCCCTTGAATCTCGACACGAACAACTTTCTTGAGTCCTAGAGACCTAGACCATGCAAAAATGCACACAATGCAGCCAAATCTGCACAAGTCCCAGCAAGTGCGCCTGTACCTCCGCAGCAGTGCAGATTCCGTCGAGCTTAGCGTCCCGGCCGACGGGTGCTAATGGAAAAGCCACTCGTAATAGCGTCCACCCGTCCAAGGTGGCGCGGTTTACTGGTTTTTTGCCTCATCTGTCATGGCTCATGAAATAAGTACAAATGGTGGTTTGTGCATGGCATCTCCCCTTCTCCTATGTATGACATCTCTGACGAACTCCGTCTTCTCCGTCAGGCTAGGCACTGGGCAGCGCTTCTCCTTTCCATGTTCCATCGAGGCTCTCCACCGCCGGATACTGGAGAGGAGCCCGAGCCGACGGTTTGAAAGAGGGGCCCTTCTCCCAAGAACTTCGAATGAACAAGTGACCGAGAAAAAAATAGACAAAAGAGTGGGCGGGAGGGGCGTCGAGGAATTAACCACTCCATCTGCTGCCCTCTCGAATCCCAAACGGCAGGTCGTCAGTCAATACTGCTGCTCGAGGGCGGCCCAAACCCAAAGGAAATAAGACCAAAGGGCGACGGAGCGAAGAAAGGCTAACAAATGTTTAATTTGAACACGCCCAAGTAGGAAACACAATGACACAACCACACAAGGGGTGTACAAAAAGGGACGAGGATTCCGACAGCGAGGGCTTAGAATTTTCGGATGCCCGTCAACTTGGAGCTCTTTTCGACAAGGTCTCTCCCCGCCATCCGAGAGTGCTCTCGATGGTGATGTGCGCCGCTGCTTGGGTACCCGCTGAATGCTGCAATGGCAGTGCTCGACAAGCCCGTCATTGACAGCCCGCGGTGGCCGGGCTCTTCGCACGCACACACGCACGCCATCATGGGGTGTCCCTGAACCCCTGGACCAGTGGACCCTGCCAGCCATGAGAACCTTCAATCGAGGTGCTGTGCGCCCCCAAAACGTTTCTCTATCTCGCTCTTTCCGACCTCTGCCGTTTGAATTGAAAGATGCCATAATACGGAGAGAATTGACAGCCAGTCGATGGTTATCAGCAATATTGCCAGGGCTCGGGGCCAACGCATAGGTATCGATAGCTAGGCAGTATACGGCGGAGTTCCATTGGACAATCAGCAGCAATACGAGATTGTCGGAAAACCGCCTTGGTCCTGGGATGGTTAACGAAATCTCCCCGTCAACTCCAGTCTCCAGCCAAACCCCCGTGTCGCTTGCCCCCTCATACGGTACGCGGGATGGACCCAAGTGGGCAACATACGATGGCTGAGTAACCAAGGGCCCCGACAACGGCCACGACGACGACTACGACAGCGACGCGTAAAGAAGGAAACATATTGAAACTACCATGATAACGAGGTTTCTTCCACCCGTATATGCATCGCGCGGTGTTGAGAGGTTTCAAAATGTCGCAACCATTCAAAAGTACGGAATACACCTAGACCCTTGATAGATGTTGCGATTCTCCCGCCAGGGTTCACTTGGATCCCTCCCCGGGCCATAAAACCACTTCCGTGTCATCGCCGGCGTGGCGCTGGTCATCCGGGCGTCGAATGACCCTGGATTCCTCAAATCATCAGCTAGCGCCACACTTGCTTGCATTCGCGCATTTCCTGCCAAATTCGATCTTTTGACGGTGGACCGAATCGCGACATTGACACGCGCCCAAACTATTAAAGCGTGTCGAGAGAAGAAAGAAAAGCGCTCGTGTTCTGTGGTAGCGAGTGAGTGATCCTACTCGTGTTTCACCCTCGATAATGCTTTTCTTGATCTATCCGTCTGCTCGCAGCTCGAGGGGACATAGTATCTAGTGGTGTTGACGTTCCGTCATGCGATCTGCGCGTGGGCAGAATGATATCAGCCTGGGCAGACGCTTACAGCAGACAACGCATAACAACACACACACACACACACACACACACACGCACACGCATTCACGCGCCAGAAAATGAGCCGAAACGGAATACGAGATCGAGGTGCAGCAGCCAGCGCCCCAGTAGGTCTACAAAACGGTCGGTTTAGGGAGGTGTGCTCGCCAACAGCGTCATCCTTTGTAGATCAACACCGTCTGCGACACGAGAGAAGAATGTAAGGATTCTCGGGTCTCAAAGATGCTCAAGATGGGAGAAAAGCCCGACAGGACCCAATCACTCGCTCCTGGAGTCCGTCCAGTTAGTTCAACGCAGGAAGCAGTCTCATGCTTGGAGTCTATCAACTCTCAGAAAAGTCCGCTACTCAATCTCTTACCACCAAGCTGGCAAGCTTCGAAAGTGCTTACTGCGAAAAGAAGAAAGAGCACTGTTTAACTCTATCGTTTTATATTACTAGAGGATTGCCGTAGTATATATAGACGCTACCCTACCCTCGAATTCCGTACTATTTAACCTTAACCCTTTTTATAAATTACTTATCCTTTTTTTTATTTTACCCTCTTTTTTATTAAGGGATTACTAAAATTATAGTTTTAATAACTTATTAATAAGCTAATATTATTATTTAAAAATAAGTAACCTATTTTTATATATAAATACTAAAAGTCTTATTATTATAAAAATAATAATAAATATACCGGAGTATTTAAAAAAGCTTTTTAATAAATTTTTAATACTATTTAAAGCGATTATTTTTAAGTTATAAAAGAAAGCTAAGGCGCTATATTAATATAGCCCTATTTATCTCGTTAATATTAATAATATTTTTTTAATATAGGATATATTAATAATACTTTATAGCTACGTTACTACGCTTTATAAATCGTACTTAATATTAATAAGGTTTTTAATATTATTTACTAAGTTTTTTATTAAAGTCGTTATTATAAAGTTAGTTTAGTTATTAATATTTTAATAAGTATTTTAACTTAACTTAGAAGCTCTTATAGTTTTTAAAAAGAGGTTTTTAAAGGACTTATAATTAAACTTTTTATTTATTATAAATAAAGTTATTATAATTAAAGTTATAGTAATTAAAGTTATAATAATTAAAACTATAGTACTATTTATAAACCTCGATAATAAATAGTTAATAATATAATTATCTTTTTTTTATAATAAGCTTAAAAAAGTATTTTAATTTAAGTATTAAATAGGTACTATACTATTTTATTAAAATTATATTCTTATATTTGTAACTTAGAAAGAATTAACTTTCTTCGATAATAAGGTACTTAGAAAAGAAGAAAGAGGGGACCGCCCGGGACACTCGGGCGTCGAAGACTCGAAGGGGCCCAGCGTTTGTAATTCCCGGAAATTACCCAGAGACACAGCGTCCACCGGCCGGTGAGTAATCCAGTTGCCAACTGAGCCACACTTCACTGTGAAGCCCGGCACACGGCGCGCCCACTCAGCTTGGGGCTTAACACGACTTTCATAACGTCTGTGCATTTGCCTTCAAGTGAGAGTATGGCTCACATGTCACTCACGAGGAATGCATCTTTCAATTCAAGCTTTATTTCTCCAGAATTTGCTCGTCATTTTCCCCATGTTGTACTCACAAGTGTGAGACACTTCACTTTTGTCCTATCTGACATGAAGTCGCCTCCATTCTTGCCCGCTCCCTGCCAAGGCCTCTGCTTGGAAGGGTTCGTCCTGTCCATGGGCCGTCGCTGGAAGAGTGGTCAGTCTCACCCAGAGTGACTGCCTCATTAAGCTCACATGATCGGTTCCCTTCGACTTCACATCATTACGGCGTAAGCGCACGATAGATGACCAGTAGAGATGACCAAGGTTTACGTCCTCTTATTGACTGAAAACGCCTGTATTGATCTGTACTCATTTTAAGAAACAATGACCCAGCAGCCGCAAAGCAGCCGCGCCATTGTTGGAACTGAGAAGCGCAACCGAGATCAAGATGTGAAACGATATCAAGATCTGAAGTTGGTATGATATCGTCTGAGAAAGGGCTTCGTCGCCTGTATTCCATTGACCGCTTCATGGCGTCACTACATCCGTCACTACGCAAGTCTTTCTCTAACTTTGCTCTGTTTTCTAGCAGTCGATGGGATGCGTTTGATGTATCTATATCCAGCCTGCAGGTTATATATTCCGACGTGGAACTTCTGGAGCGTATCAAACGCTACCTTGTTAGTCGCCTCGACAGTAAAGCCATCGGTTCCGGCTTGGGCACTCTCCTAACTGTCGATAACGACATCTACGGGAACCGCGACATTCGTGTCCACACTTCAGGCTGGATCATTGTCTCTGTACGGAGTATTCGAAAGAGAGTACCTGAAGCTTCGACGCCGCCAACAAGCCGTCTTGCCGCATTTGGATCTTATTTACTCTTGCGCTGTTCCACGAAGTCTTGAGGATGCCCAGCGGTGATATCATCCGAGAGATCCGCCGACATTCGTACACACAGGGCCCGAAAGAGCTCAATCTCATGCTCGCCCAATGCCGTGTCCATCCCAGAGCATCTGAGCCCCTCATCCTCGCCGCCGTTCGTACCGCAAGCAACCCAAGAACGCCTGCCATCCAACCAGGTCGGCACGTTAATCGGCCCATCCCACGGCCTCGTCCAATCGCCCGCGAAGAAGTTGATGGAGGCCAGCGGACTCTTTGCGTAATGTCGGATGAACCTCGCAACTTGGAGGGCACTCGTCGCCGTGAGCAGAGGGCTGGCGAGCTGCTCCACCGGACCGCAGGCATCCTCGCAACGGACCGGATCGTACGGGCCCTGTTGACGACGGCATTCGCTCGCGATCTCGAGGTATAGCGTGAGGTTGGTCAGTCCAGCCGGGAGGCCTAACGAGAGAGCGCGGAGATCCTCCCATGGCCATGTGCCGTTGCGGTTGAGGTCGATGGTCAGAGATTGCAAATTGGGTGCTAGGTTGCGAAGGTCTCGCATGACCTCACTCGGAAGTGCTGGTCTTTTGGACTCTAGGCTTTCTGGCGTTCGCCATTCCAGGTGAGTGAGTGAGCGTCCATGTCGTTCCAGTATAGGGATTATGGACTGGTCTTGGCCGGCGTCTAGCCATGAAAGGCTGTGCAGCGAATGCGGAGGTAGAGAGAGGCCAAAGTCTACGGTTGTGTTTCGTTCCAGCCTCAACGTGCGAAGGCTTGGTAGAGATAGAGGCAATTCGCTCTCGACGAGTGTCTCGGGGGGACCGTCGTAGTCCAAGATGGAGAGATTGCGGATCTTGGAGAAGTCCATCGCGTCGAGCCATAGTTCGGTGTTGCTCACCGACTTTTGGTCATCTGGGAGTAGTCTCCATTTCAACCACCCAAAGGCATCACCCGACCAGATCCAAGCACTGAGGTAAGTCCATCCTCTCAAAGGATGTAGGTAATCCCCATCAGTGTCGTAAAAATGATACTTTTCGAGGGATAGTGTGTCCAGTACGGGGAGATATCGTGATGTTCCGGCAGGATCGAGAGGAAGGCTCCAGCGGTCGGGTTCTCCTACACAACCGATCTCTCCGATACGCAGGTTGAGTGATGTGATGTTGGGGCAGTGGATGAGAGCATCGTGGACTTCGGCTAACGACTCGTAGTCTGTGTTGCTTGGGCTCTGGTGGGACGGTGGTATGGTAACTCTGAGTTCTGAACTGGAGGGGCAGGTTACAGGTTTTGCGGGTGAGGCGATTCCGGCCCAGATGAGGAACGAGGTGAGAGTATGTGTGGGAAGCATGATGAATTCAGTCACCGATCCCCTTTCTGAACCATCGGTTTCCGTTGTGATCCTGCGGCGAGGATGGAAGTTGAGCTTATCAGGTAGAAAGACGATGGCTGGGAGAGGTGACAGGGGCGTGTTGGATGGACCCCTGTTTCGCTGTGCCTCATTCAACGTGCTCCCCGCCATTTTTCATGATTTGCTTATGCTTTATTATCACAGATATTTGCCCAGCAGCTGCCCAGCAGCTGCGCTATTGTTGACACCAAGAAGGGCAACCAAGATCAAGACATCGAATGACATCAAGATAGCAGCAGCACCAACCAAGTTCTCCACTTCATCGTTATCAAGTAAGGGGAGGACATGGCCATTTCTTGCGGCAAGCAACAGTAACCACCGAAAGTCATCTACTTCCCCATCACCTCCCCTCTCTACCACAGTCTTTGCCCTGAGCCGGAGGAGGTCTGAGGTAGACGCGACCGAACCCCCCAAGAAGGACTCGGTTGCGTGTATGCGCTCGATGCAGCCATTGCCAATCTCCAGGACATCCATTCGTACTCGGAATCCTTGAGGTGCGTCAAACGCAATCTTGCCGTCGGCCTCGACGGTAAAGTCTTTGAGCCCGGCTTGGGCGCTCTCCTAAATGTCGATGATGGCCTCTGAGGGAGCCGCAACATCCACGTCCTCGGTGTGCTATGTCGAGGAGTGGGCAACGCTCGCCGCACCTCCGACTAAGATAACATGCTGCCGTAAGCCTGGACGGACAAGGGTCGTTGCTGCTTTAAAGCAGGCAAACAGCGCGTCGCGCATGGGGATGGAGATGGTCTTGGAGGAGTTGGGCATTTTGAATGATGACTCTTCTTAGGGATCTAGCTTCGAGCGAAAAATACTTTGAACAAGTGAAGAGCTGATGCAAGTAACTTGTAGTAACGATTACCAATCTATCATCTTGAGCAATGCACACGGCAAATGATTCGATGCTTTATCAAGAACCTACCAAGAAGTCTGTCGATGATGTCGCGAAGAAGAAAACACAGCAAAAAGAGAGGGAGGGGTAGTTGTCAATCTGACTACTTGCCTTTCCATGCTTTACATCACCTGGTGCCTGCTTTGGCAATCATTCACGTCTATTTGGTGAGGCACTTGGGGCAGCTGGTATCCTTCGGACCTGACCCATTGCTTGGGAGTTTTCATGTGCCTGGAAGATAGGAAAGAGCGTGTCGACAATGTGTTTCCCCTAAACACTGGCTATCTATCGTGAATGCTACCACAATGCCCTCAATCGTGCTCGAAGTAAACGACTATGATCTTTTCGAGAGTTTCCTTGCTTCGTCAAGCTCTTCAGTCGATTCCTCCCGCCGCCTCTTTCTCTCAGTTCTGGGTGCTATGCCGGTTTCGCTCCTCCGCAGGTCGATGTCCACGATCCAGGGATAGCGTTCCAACTCACCATCCACCTCGAGCGCGGCGTTTACGAACATGGTGCTCTTGACCTCCGACGAGCTCAGATCGTTGCGGAGATGTCCTGCACTACAGTATCGCTGCGCTCTGCATACGTCGATTCTCATCTCTCTAACCTTCTTGTCTTCTTCAGATTCGAACCGGGTACCCCCGAGCGTTGCGAGACTTTCAACAAGCTGAGACTTTTCGTGATTAATATCACTAAAATGTGAGGGTTTGTCGGAAATCTTCGGGCGCCAAGCTGCGTCCTTTGCTCCCCAACCACCGTGTACATGTCCGAAACAGTGAAAACGAGGTTGAGACTTCGCAACCGCAGCAAACAGATCCGAACAGCCGATACGCTTCTTCTTCGCAGACATGTCCATAATCCCACGCGGCGGACCATGAGTGATGACGATGTCCGTGTCGGCCTGGATTTGGAAGTCATGTCCCTCGCTTTCGTTGTACGAGAAGCCCCAGCCTTCAGATGATGAGGATGATGGCGTGTACGGGCTAGCGTAGACCTTGAGCCTTGTGCCGTTCGCCAGAGTCAGTTCGTGTGTACCCTCGTCTAGGAGAACGATACCGTCCTTCTTGGCATCGATGAAGAGCTTCCTTGCCAGTCCGTATCCGCCATACTCCCGTTCAAGCAGGTCTGCTTCAAGTGGTGCGCCGTCGATGCGGTTGGCTTCCTCGACTTTTGCTTTGAATGCTACGGGGTCGAGAGAGAAGTCGTGGTTACCTGCGATGACGAGCGTGAGTGGTGCTTTGAACGACTTGAGCATGTCGAGAGTTTGGCGGAATTCGTCCATTTTTGAGTGCTGTGTGAGGTCGCCGCAGTGGATCAGGACATCAGTTGGTTCACGAGGCATCATTTCAGGTGGGAATGTGTGACCATGAGTGTCGGAGATGATGAGGAATCTGGTTTGGGTGGTGGAAGACATCGTGTTGAGACTGCGAGGTTGAACGGAGGATGCAGGTAGTGGGACTTGGCCGACTCTTGAAGGCGTCAAGTCTGAGATGAGTTGTGTATGTTTTTCCTCGATATTTCAATTCGGCTGAGGAATACACTAATGCTTAAATGTCAAAACGATGAGCCTGGGGAGAATCTCTGCGATATGGTTTTGAATTTCTTTAGTCTGCCCACATACATATCTCCGTTTGTGTCCATCAAGTGACATACCAGCTGCGATAGGTTTTTCAACCGCCGCCAGATAACCTTCATTAATCCCCTCGTGATACCTGGATAGCCTGAATAACGAGGCTAGGAAAACATGATTATAGCGGTGAAGCATGGTAGATGACGTGAGGCAAAAGAACTTCACTAACGTCGAGCAAAGAGTGAGCCGCTCGACAAGAAACTTATCGAATGGGGTATGGGGGCGTTGACAGCCCGCATAATCCTACCACAAGAACAGGAGGATGGACTGCTACCATGACTACACCAAGAACTGCATTTTAACCGCGCCGGATCAACCGAAGCGGCAATGGCTCGGCTCCGGTTGGGGTTCAAAGCCGGCGCACTAGCCGGGCATCCTCAGCCGGGCAGGGCCGGAAGCACGCGCATTCTACTGTGAAGCAGAGAGGGAGGATATGGAATCACCCTCCTGACAAACACGGCCACGTCTGATACCACAGTGTTGAGGCGATTGGTGGTACCAAGTAGACATCATAATCTAGGCAAGTCCCCTTGTCTGCTCTCGCGCGAGACCAAGATACCCGAAATCGCCAAGCAAAAAGCCAAGCCATCCCTCGCCCATCATCCCTCACTCATACACCACCAAGCACGAAGAGCCACTCAACCAGATCGCCCGCGCCCGGCCTGAAAAGTCCCCGTATCTACTTACCCAAGTGGGTGAGAAAATCGGTTTCCACTATTATCTCTAGTACCAATATCTATTAGACGGGGTATATTCTCTAACGTACATAAGAAAGATTCTGATGCGAAAAGGGTAGCGGCTATAATGATATACCTAGTGAAAGGGGCAAGCGCATGGCAGAGAATCAAGCGTCCCCCACGTCACCAAATCAACTATCCTCAAAAAACAAACAAGCAGCCAAGCAATGTTAAGGAAAACGGCTTACGACCCTACGGAAAGAAAAATCCCAACCACGCGGCGGCATGTAACACCCCTTGTTCGTCCGATATCATCCCAGTTGGAGCGTTTTACAACAGGCGTCTCGAAACTCAACAAAGGGCACACGTCCCTACCCAAGCAGTCGTCATCTTTACACCAAGCCCGGGCGTCCGAGCGCTCCCCTCAGTCTCCCAGGGCCTACGGGAGCCCAAACAGTGGCGAAGAAGACTTGAGGAAGGGGCACGTCTCACCTCATCTTGGGAATCGTCTCCTACACACATGCACGCGGTAGATAACGAGAGAAACGGATGAAGGAAACCAAGTTGACGTTTGCAAGAGCCTTGTGCCCTGCTACATCAAGAACTGTCTAAGTATACTGATGATGGCATCGCTAGGTACAATGTAAATGTCGGTAGTAGTAAATAGTATATCCACAAGGGGTTGCGGGGATGACGCCCAAGATTATCATCATCCACCGATGCACTTCCTCACTGTCGCCCTCCAAATTCTCATCCTCCTCCTCCTCCTCTCCGACGGCATGCCTGCGATGCCGTCACCCGTGTCGCCAATACCTGGCATCCACCTGGTCTTGTGGCGTCCGGCGCAACTGCAACATGCAACCCCGTGGATCAGACTCCATGATGGTCTATCCTACCGCAACTGATAAATGATGGTAGAGATAGATTGGTACAGGCAAGCAACGACGCTGATATTGTTGACAAATAATATGGTGGAAGAGGGAAACGAAACGAAATTGTTGCCTTTTTCTTTTTCTTCGACTTTGGCCTAGAAGTTCTCCTTGCCCCATACGAACGAGAAGCTGCAGTAATATTAGCATTGAACATGTTTTCAGGCCTAGAATGGTGACTTACCCAGGTTCACTGTACTTATTACAGAAAATGTGTAGCGTGCTACCTAGACCCTTAGGACCGCAGAAGAATACACCGGCCTCGGCAGGCGAGTGCAGCTTGCGGATACCTCTGAAAATCATGTCCCAGTTGGGTCTACCGAAGTTGGTCGGCGAGCGCAGGCCGGTAATGGTATCCTTGTCGGCGTTGGCGTCGTTAATCATAATGTTCGTCGCGTCGTCCGCCTTGATCTTAGCCGTCAGGTAGGTGTGGATCTCAATACGGTTATCGACATCCTGAGCTTCAATGGCCAGAAGAAGGGAGCGGAACCACTCGAAAGAGCCGAAGTCTCTGCAAATCCAGAAGAAGTAAACCTTGCTCAGGCGGGTCTTCTGCTGAGGGTAGTTCATGCGGTACCAGATGGACTTTAGGATGGAAGCAAAGGGCGTGACACCGATACCAGCACCGCAGAGAACCGAGATCTCGTATTTGAAAACATCCTCAGAGGCCGAGCCAAAGGGACCGTCAATGTAAACACGGGGCAAGACACGGCGGAGGGCGGGGTCGACCTCGCTGGAATCGCTGTTGACACCGACAACCTTGCTCGCATCGTCCTTCTTCTTGTCCCATTCGCAGCCGAGAGCCATTGAGACAGCACGAGTGAAGTCACCGACAACACGCATGTGGATGGAGATGTAGTCTTCCTCGGGGGCGCTGGTCAAGGTGAAAGGGTGGTACTGCCACAGAGAGACGGCGGGACAGCAGAAGAAAATGTACTGTCCAGCTCTGGTCTTGGTGTGCTCCTTCTTGATCTGGATCTCGCAGACATTGCTGGGGTGCTGAATGACCTTGGAAACGTACGTCTTGTGACGTCCACGAACCTCACGAGCGACACGCTCAGCCAGGTAGACGAAACCGCCGTACATCCAGTACTGCCAAAACACACCGATGGCGGAAGTGCCGATGCTGGTGCAGAAAGGAGCAAAGTCGGGCTGAATCATGCAGAAGGCACCGTGGATGGACCAGAAGAAGAAGAAGACGATAAACATGTGGTGAGTGTACCAGAATCGCTCGTAGTTGGCACGGCGGGGCTTCTCAACCGAGGTGAAGACCATACCCATGAGCGCGATGAGCATGACATAGCCAGTCCAGCCGGGTCCGGAAACAAAGTTGGCCAGCAGCCAGCCGTAGATTCCGAGGTTGTTCTTGGCGGCGATCTGGGCGAAGTTGTTCCAGTGGGCAATGGTGTGGACCCACGAAAAGAAGACAATGGACCAAGCGGTGGTGATGTGGAAGGTGATGTTCTTGTCGAACTGGATGATTCCGTTGAGCGGAGTCTGGCGAGCCAGGGAGATGAGCGTGCGGCAGACGGGGAAAAGGACCAAAGCGACGTCGACGTGGAGCACCAGCGCAGCTGAACGTGCAATGATGAATGTCGGGCCAAATGTGTCTCTTGCTATTTGCAAGTTGTCCTTGAGGG